AACCCAGGGGGGTGGAGGTTGCAGTGAGCCAAGATCGTGCCACTGCACTCCACCTTGGGCAACAGAGCAAGACTCCATCTCAAAAAAAAAAAAAAAAGAAAGAAAGTTCAACTCATGTCTGTTTCTGTCTCGTAGCCGTAAGCTGGCTGGTCCAAAGGGCCGAAAGAAGATTGGCTGGATGGAGTTCCGCCTCCTCCACTATGCAGGAGAGGTCACATACTGCACTAAGGGTAAGTGGTTGTGGGGTACAGGTGACAGCCATGTGTGTGCCCAGCCTGGTGCCTTACAATAAACTCCGAGTCCACGGAGGAAATGGTGCACGCTCATCCCAAACATTCCCTAACCTTGCATTCAAGCCACTCGAAAAAGTCTTTCTAATTGTATTTATTATTTTTGTAAATAACCACTTTATTGAGATGCAATTCACATATCATCCATTTACCCCATTTTAAAATGTACAATTCAGTAGATTTTAGTATTAATATATTCAGAGTTGTGAAAACATTACCACCATTCATTATGTTTTATTTTATTTTTATTTTTATTTTGAGAGAGAGTCTTGCTCTGTTGCCCAGGCTGGAGTGCAGTGGCGCAGTCTCGGCCCACTGCAACCTGTGCCTCCCAGGTTCAAGCCATTCTCCTGCCTCAGCCTCCCAAGTAACTGGGGTTACAGGCGCCCACCACCACGCCCAGCTAATTTTTTGGTTTGTTTGTTTGTTTTTGCCATGTTGGCCAGGCTGGTCTGGAACTCCTGACCTCAAGTGATCTACCCACCTTAGCCTCCCAAAGTGCTGGGATTACAGGTATGAGCCACCATGCCTGGCCACCACCATTCATTTTAGAACATTGTATCACTCTCAAAAGAAATCGTGTAGCCATTAGCAGGCACTCTCTGTTTCCCTCTAACCCCACCCCTACAGCTCAAGGCAACCAGCTGATGCACCTTCCCTCTCTATAGATTTGACTTTTTTTTTTTTTTAATTTTTTTTATAACTGGAATCATGCAACGTGTGGCCTTTCGTGTCTGGTTTCTTTCACTTAACATAATTTTTTCAGGGTTCATCCATGCTTTCATTCCTTTTATTGTCAAATAATATCCCATGATGTGGATATGCCACATTTTGTTCATGCATTCATCAATAACTCATGGTAGGCGCTTGGGTTGTTTATACCTTCTAACTATTATAAATAAGGCTACCATGAATATGCTGGTATGAGTTTTAGTATGGGCATAAGTTTTCATTTTTCTTACATATATACCTAGGAATGGAATTATTAGATTAGATATGGTAACTCAGCCGGGTGCAGTGGCTCATGCCTGTAATCCTAGCACTTTGGGAGGCCAAGTGGGGGGCGAATCACCTGAGGTCAGGAGTTTGAGACCAGCCTGGTGAAGCCCCGTCTCTACTGAAAATACAAAAATTAGCCGGGCGTGGTGGTGGACACCTGTAGTCCCAGCTACTTGGGAGGCTGAGGCAGGAGAATGGCTTGAACCTGGGAGGCGGAGGTTGCAGTGAGCCGAGATCGTGCCTCTGTATTCCAGCCTGGGTGACAGAGCAAGACTTCGTCTCAAAATAAAAAATATATATGTTAACTGTATGCTTAACCTTTTGAGGAACTGCCAGGTCATTTTCTGAAGCAGCTGCACCATTTTACATTTCCACCAGCAGCATATGAGGGCTTCCAATGTCTCCACAGCCTCACCTATGCTTGTGTTATATCATTCTATATATCTGTTATGTTCCATGTGTGATGTTCTGCTCTCTTGCCCGAGCTGGAGTGCAGTGGCGCAATCTCTGCTCACTGCAAGCTCCGCCTCCTGGGTTCATGCCATTCTCCTGCCTCAGCCTCCCAAGTAGCTGGGACTACAGGCACCCACCACCACACCCGGCTAATTTTTTGTATTTTTAGTAGAGACAGGGCTTCACCGTGTTAGCCAGGATGGTCTCCATCTCCTGGCCTCATGATCCACCCGCCTTGGCCTCCCAAAGTGCTAGGATTACAGGTGTGAGCCACCACACCCGGCCTATATGTGATGTTCTTCTAACCATATTAGTGGGTGTGAAGTAGTATTTCATTGTGCTTTTGATTTGCATTTTTCTAAAGACCTATGATATTAAACATCTTTTCATGTGCTTATTGGCTGTTTATCTTCCTTGGAGAAATGTCTATGCAGATCTTTTGCCCATGTTTGAGATTAGGTTATTTTTCATTATTGAGTTGTAAGAATTTTTTATATATCCTAGATACTAGATCCTGATCAGATACACAATTTGCAAATATTTTCTCCAATTCTATGAGTTATCTTTTCATTTTTGTGATGGTGTCCTTTGAAGCATAGAAGTTTTTAGTTTTGATGAAGTCTAACTCTTCTTCATTTTCCTTTGTCACCTTTACTTTTGGTTTGAAATTAGTTTTACTTTTTTTTTTTTCTTTTTTTTTTTTGAGACAAGGTCTTGCTCTGTTACCCAGGCTAAAGTGCAGTGGCGTGATCTTGGCTCACTGCAACCTCTGCCTCCGGGGGTTCAAGCCATTCTCCTGCCTCAGCCTCCCGAGTAACTGGGATTATAGATGTCTGCCACCACACCCAACTAATTTTTGTATTTTTAGTAGAGACAGTGTTTTGCCATGTTGGCCAG